TCCTTTCTTCTACTGTTTTTGGGTTTTGTTTGTTCTTTTTCTAGCTCCTTTAGGTGGAAGGTTAGGTTGTTTGAGGTTTTTCTTCCTTCTTGAGGTAGGCGTGTATTGCTCTAACCTTCCCTCTTAGAACAGCTTTTGCTGCATCTCAAAGATTTTGGGCTGTTTTCATTTTCACTTGTCTCCATGTATTTTTTATTTCCTCTTTAATTTCTTGGTTGACCCATTCATTGTTTAGTAGCATGTTAGTTAACCTTCATGTACTTATGCTCTTTCCAGATTTTTTCTTGTGGTTGACTTCTAGTTTCATAGTGGTGTGGCCAGAAGAGATGCATGATATGACGTCAATGTTTTTTTAATTTGTTGAGACTTATTTTGTGGCCTAATATGTGATCTATTCTGGAGAATTTTCCTTGTGTACTTGGAAAGAATATGTATTCTGCTGTTTTAGGATGGAATGTTCTGAATATATCTGTAGATCCACCTGGTCCAATGTGTCTTTCAAAGTCACTGTTTCCTCACTGATTTTCTGTTTGGACGATCTATCCATTGATCTAAGTGCTGTGTTAAAGTTCCCTACTATTAATATTGCAACTCATTTGTGTCCCAAAGGTTTGTTTCCTGCTTGCTCAACAAGTATATATTAGCTCTAGCCCCGGCACCCCACCAAAATTCTCCACCATTCAGTGGGGCTGAAACCATACCTTCTATGATGAAATCTGAACCCCAGGTTTAGAGATGGGGCCCATCTTCAAAATTTATCCTTCCCTGGATACTCTCCTTCAGTCTTTGGGTACTTTTCAGAGTTCTTTTATATCTTATAGTTACTCTTTTACAATAGCTTCATATTTCTTTATACTCCACCTTGGTCCAGAACTGGAAGTAAAATATATCCTTAATAGCCACATTAAATATTTACACTAACTGTAATTAATAATGTATTGGGAGTTATTTCCATACTCATATGGAAAATTTTTTAAAGACTTATTTATTTGAGAGAAGAGGGGAGGGGCAAAGGGAGAGGGAGAGAGAGAATCTCAAACAGACTCTGCTGAGCATGGAGCTCAACACAAGGCTCAATCTCACAACTCTGAGATCATTACCTGAGCCGAAATCAAGAGTTGGATGCTTAACTGACTCAGCCACCCAGGCATCCTACTCTTATGGAAATTTTTGAGCAAATAAGAAGGAAATTATTTATCACTTCTGATAATGTTTCCCTTAGTCAGAGGGCCACAACTGGCAAGGGAGAATGGGAAATTTGGGACCTAGCAGGGCAGCCAAGCACCTAGGAAAAAACTGAAAATTCTGGCAGTCTGCCAAAATTATGGTGTATCACTAAAAGAATATATAGTTATAACAATATGCCACCATAAAAATGAAGTAATTTCATGTAGGAGAGGATCTCTGAGACAGAATATATTTTCCAAAAAGGTCCACCAAAGTGGGCCATCCTACCCCATATGCTCTACTAACAATGTGACACTCTCCTATCAAGATGTAGCTGCCTAAACAGAGAATAGCAGAAGTGAAATTATGCAACTTCCCAGGCTAGGTATGGAAGATCTTTATGGCATATTGCATTTTCAAAACAGGCCACCGTATATCCTATCCTACAAGCTCTTCTTAAAATGGGACACTTCTTGGGGCACTTGGGTGGCTCAGACGGTTAAGCGTCTGCCTTCAGCTCAGGTCATGATCCCAGGGTCCTGGGATCGAGCCCCGCATCGGGCTCCCTGCTCTGCAGGAAGCCTGCTTCTCCCTCTCCTACTCCCCCTGCTTGTGTTCCCTCTCTCTCTGTCAAATAAATAAAATTAAAAAAAAAAGTGACACTTCTTTTACAGAGCTGTAACTGCCTTAACTGATGGGAGTATGACACAAGTGAGGTTATGTGATTTCTGAGGCTAGATCATAAAAATTACATGCGCTTTGACCTTGTTTAGGGCATATTCTTGGAACCCAAGACACCACGCTAAGCAGCCACATAGAGATATCACATGTAGATATTCTGGCTGACCACCCTATCTAAGGTCCAGTTGATAGCCAGAATCAACTGCCAGACATGTGAGCATGTGAAACTTCAGATGATCCCAGCCTTCAGCCATCAAGCTTTCAAGCCATCCCATCTGAGGCTATGTTAATCAGAGATGAGCAGTTGCTGCCAAGCCTCGTCCATATTTTTATAGATGTGTGAGCTAAATAAACTATTATTGTATCTTAAACCAAGTTTGGAGTGGAGTTATGCAGCAACAGCAACTGGAATCATTGCCAAAATATGTACGTGAAAAAAGCAAGGCGGGTTTTTAAAACATACAACTTATATATTCTTAAAAGCAAATGAAAAAAGAGAAACTACATTCTAGCTTGCTTGCTGTCTCTATATATACATATATCACTTTCAATCTCTGCTAGTAGCTTATATAGCTAGAAAAATTCAATTTCATATATATCCTTGGAAAAGTTACCTAAGTGGGTCATTTCCTGATGGATTTGTTCCAAAGCCTGGGAACTGTTTGGGGGATTTGAGTCATACACTGTTGCAGGCCAGGATTGCGTTTCATTAACAGTAGTACATTTCCCTCAAAAACTGAATAGGCTTTCAAAGTATTTGCTACTTTTTAATTATAATGTCAAAGATCTTGTGTAAATACAGTTTTAAGCCTGATTTCTTTTGCTTACTGGCCCCTTTGTACTTTCTTTTTTCTATCTCTCTGTTCCTAGGCAATCATATTTCACATTAAATATCTCACTTTGGTGACTCTTTCATATCTCTTTTCTTTTGGACCCCAAACTTCTCATCCCCCAATATTTTCAGCTAACCTTAACACTCATGGGATCACTGAAGGAATCAGAAGAACACTTCACAAAACTTCTCCCACCTCATCTACTTACTTCCCAGCACCCCATATTCTGCCATACTATTGCCAGGAATAAACTTTCCATATTACCCAAAATGATCCCTCCATCTGCTAAATCTTATCCCCTCTCACTGACATAAGGTCATTGCTCCAGTAATTCTCACTTCTTTGTTATGAATTATTACCCCCATCTGTATTATTCCAACCAGCATACAGAACTGTTATTACTTCTCCCATCCTGGAGATACTCCAATTCCTATTGCCATACTAATTAACTGTTTTTTGTTTGTTTGTTTGTTTGCTTCATTGCAGCAAACACCTCCAAGCAGTTATGTCTATATTCATCGTCTCCAATTTCTATTTTTCAAGTTTCTTAATTCAACCACTTAATTCAACCACTCCAAAACAAACAAAAATACCCAACAAAATATTGATCTTCAAGATCAACAATAACATGGATATGTTCAAGTCAATTCTCAAGTATTGTCTAGTATTATGTCATCTGCTAACGGTATCTACAACCATTGATCATCCTTCCTTTCACTTTCATTTAGCTTCTGTAATGCCACACTATTCTGTTTTTCCTTCCATCCCACTGCTCCTTCTTAGCATCCTTTGCTAGTCTGTCTTTTTATCCTTGAACTCTTAATGTTAGATGGCACTGTGGATCAGTCTTTTCTCTATCTATACCCAGGTCTTTAATGATCTTATTCTGCCTCATGGTTTCATGTAAGTATAGGCAATACCTACCAAGTTCATATAATCTCTAGAACAGTACAAGCTAAAACATCCAACTGCCTAATCAATATTATCATTTTGTCTAAAAGATATTTCAAATTCAACATGTTCAAAATTGAACTCCCAAACTTCCCCAACAAACCTGATGGAATTGCAGCTTTCCCCATCTCAGCTGATGGGAATACCATCTTTCCAATTGTTTGAGACCAAAACCCATGAGTCAAAGTCACTCCAGAACCCTCTCTCTCACCTGATATCCAAACCTTAAACAAGTCTTGCTTGCTCACATTTACCCTATATTTAGAATTGAACAACTTCTCCCCATTGTTACCACCATGGTGTGAGCCAACATCATCTTTCATCTGAATTAAGACGCCATAGTCTCTTGCCCATTTAGTTGTTTTTTCTTTTAGCAACACAATAGCAGCCTATCAAATCACATCCCCTGCTCAAACACTCCAGTGGCTGCCATTTCCATCAGAAAAAATTACAAAATGCTTAAAGTGACTTACAAGATATGGCCCTTTTCTCTCTCCATCTTCCTCAATTATAACCCCCTTGCACAGGCCTCTACAAGAGCTTCTTTGATGTTCAAGTATACCAGCATCATGCCATTGTAGGGCCTTTGTTCTAACTTTTTCCTGTCTGCAGTGCTCTTCCTGTAGATAACCACTGACTTACTCCTTCACATCTTCAAATCTTGACTTGAATCTTTCCTTATCTACGGTCCATTTCATAAACTTTCATATTCCTCTTAGCTACTTTTGAATGACCTTTCCTCCATAACACTAATGTTCTAACATACTCTGTAATTTTTCTATTATTATTCTATCTCCTCCTGCTAGAGTTGCTCATTGATATATCCCAAACACCTAAAAAATTTACTGTCAACCAGGATTGAATGCCTGTAGGGAGAGATAGCATCTCTTAACAAAGCAATATTGCTTTCAATCTCTGCTAGTAGCCTCTGCAGCTAAGTCTATACCAAATTTATCTTTCACGGGACATTACCAAAAGCAACAAGAAACACCCAACACACATTCTGAATCACTCCTACCATTTCTACTAACATTACAGTCTTAACTGGTGAAGAATCTGCCTTGTAAGATAGACTGGAAGGGAGACAGACCAAATGTCCTGTCTAGGAAAGCAAAAATCTTTAGTTTTCTAGCCTGAAGTGGGTTCTCATTCATGATGGCACAAAGTCAATGCCATACTTGAGATTTCTTTTACCCATAGCACTCCACTTCTGGGTACAAAATTTTATAACCTTAATACATCTTAGTGTCAATAACAGAATGAAAACAACATCAACAAATAAGTTTATTTTAATTTTATATAAAGAAATACAGGAGACAAGCAGACCAGAATTGGTACAACTGTTCCATAAAATCAGTACAGGTGTAGACTCATTCTGTATTTCTGCTCCATCATCCTTAGTACCCAGATAACCATTCTCAAATTCTCCATAAAGTCACCAGAGCTGTAAATTAAATGTCCACATTGTAGGCAGGGAAACAAAGAAATACAAAGAGAGAAAAGGTACTCTTAAATGTCCTACATTGTACAATACCACTTCCATCTTGTTGACCTGCAAGAGGGGCTGAGATGATTTTTCAGCCAAGAATTCTAAAGGAAAAATGGATATTGGGTAGGGAAATAACGGTCCCTGACAGACTGTCATCATGTTTCACTGAAAAATAGTAATGTTGGTTTATTTTTAGTTTAATTCAAAAGCTGTACATTCAAGTTTTTAGAAATTTCCTAGTAGGAAATTTTATTTTGGCTATCCATTGTTATTCATTTCTAAATAATATTCTTGAATTGTGGTAAAAAAAAATGATAGGACATATGAGTTTCTGGACCTTGTTACAATTCACTTCACCTCTCTTCAACAATCCACTGATTAAATCTACAATGTTTTGTGGGTTCCCCCCGCAACAGTATGAGTTTCCTTTTCTAGTATATGGGATGAGATGTGAATGAAAGCTTTCTCATATTCATTACAGCATACAGTGCCCCCAACTCAAAGAGTCAGGGTCAAGTGTTAATGAAAGATTTCTTAATATTCATTATATTCCTAAGTTTCCTCTTCTCATGCAAATTCTCTAAAATCATACTAGTAATGATAGCTAATACTTGTGATATGCTATGTTCAAGGCACTGCTCTAAGAGCTTTACATGAAATGTTTCACATAATACTTCCAAGAATCTTACAAGGAAGGTATTATTCTTAGGCTTATCTTATAAATGATTAAACCAAAGCAGAGGTTAATTATGATAAATGTCATGAAGGAAAGCAGCTGGTAGAGACAGGGTAATGTTGAAAAAGACATATTCTACAGCTAAAGGCCTCAATATATTTACTATATTAACAGAATTATTCTCTATTATAATATGCTAAAGTTTAATAGGTTTTCAGTAATGATAGGTTTTTCTACATAGATTACATTAATAGTTATCTTCCCCCATTAGAATTCACTGATGCTGAACTTTATGAGGCAAATATGCTCCCATATTCACATTTTAGGAATTCTTTGACAATAATGGATTAGTGACCAGAGAAGGCTATCTTAAACACAAAGAATCAGATAATTCATATATAAACTTGTGAGCTATGACTGAAGTCTATCCCACATTCCTTATATTCAAAAGATTTCTCACTGATATGAATTCTCTGATGTTGAGTTAGTTGTGAACCACGAGTAAAGGCCTTCCCACATTCCTTACATTGATAGGGTTTCTCACCAGTATGAACTCTCTGATGTCGAGAAAGATGTGAGCTCTGAGTAAATGCTTTTCTGCATTCTTTGCATTCATAGGGCTTCTCACCAGTATGAATTCTTTGATGTAAAGTAAGTTGAGAGCCATGACTAAAGGCCTTCCCACATTCCTTGCATTCATAAGGCTTTTCTCCAGTGTGAATTCGCTGATGTTGAGTAAGTTGTGAACCACGAATAAAGGCCTTCCCACATTCCTTACACTGATACGGTTTCTCACCTGTATGAATTCTCTGATGCTGTATAAGGAGCAAGCCACGAGCAAAGGCCTTACCACATTCATTACATACATATGGTTTTTCACCAGTATGAAGTCTCTGATGTTGAGAAAGATGTGAACTCTGAGTAAAGGCCATTCTACATTCTTTACATTCATACGGTTTCTCACCAGTATGAATTCTCTGATGTTGAGTAAGCTGTGAGCCACGAATAAAAGACTTCCCACATTCCTTACATTCATAGGGTTTCTCACCGGTATGAATCCTCTCATGTTGAGTAAGTTCTGAGCCACGACTAAACGTCTTTCCACATTCTTTACATTCATAGGGTTTTTCACCAGTATGAATCCTTTGATGTCGAGTAAGGAGTGAGCCACGATTAAAAGCCTTTCCACATTCCTTACATTGATAGGGTTTCTCACCAGTATGAATTCTCTGATGTTGAGTAAGTTGTGAGCCATGACTAAAGGTCTTTCCACATTCCTTACATTCATAGGGCTTCTCATTGGTATGAATTCTCTGGTGTTGAGTAAGTTGTGAGCCACGGATAAAGGCTTTCCCACATTCATCACATTTATAGGGCTTTTCCCCAGTATGAATCCTCTGATGTTGCATAAGCAAAGAGCCACGAATAAAGGCCTTTCCACATTCCTTACATTCATATGGCTTTTCCCCATTGTGAATTTTCTGATGTTGAGAAAGCTGTGAGCCACAAATAAAAGCTTTCCCACATTCCTTACATTCATAAGGTTTTTCACCAGTGTGAATTCTCTTATGCAAAATAAGTTGTGAGAGCTGAGTAAAGACCTTTCTACATTCTTTACATTCATAGAGTTTCTCACCAGTATGAAGTCTCTGGTGCAGAGTAAGTTGTGAGTTCTGAGTAAAGGCCTTCCCACATTCTTTACATTCATAAGGTTTCTCACCAGTATGGACTTTTTGATGTCGGGTGAGTTGTGAGCTACGAATAAAGGCTTTCCCGCATTCTTCACATTTATACGGTTTTTCACCAGTATGAATTCTGTGATGTAAAATAAGTTGTGAGCTCTGAGTAAAGGCCTTCCCACATTCCTTGCATGCATAGGGTTTCTCACCAGTATGAAGTCTCTGATGAAGAATGAGCTGTGAATCACGACTAAAAGCCTTCCCACATTGCTTACATTCATAGGGTTTTTCACCAGTATGAATACTATGATGTTGAGTTAGGTGTGAGGCTCGTCTAAAAGCCTTCCCACATTCCTTACATTTATAGGGTTTCTCAGTAGAATGACACCTAGGATGTTGAGATAAGTAAGCATGCTGATTGAAAATGGACATTTTTTCATATATGATCATCCCTTGCCTGAAATATTCCTCCTGATTTTCTTGTTGCTTTTCCAATGTGCCTCTGACTTCCAAATAATCTCTGGAACTGGACTCCTCAAGGTCACAGTTTTCAAGTCTGGCACTCATTTCCCATTGGGATAGTTCTGTTTCATAAGTGTTCTTTTTTGGAGATAAATCCTTATTTGCACTCCTTGAAGGCAAGTCTGAAAGATAAGAGAACATGAAAAATTCCTGTTATCATTTCAGGAGAACCCATAGAGAAAAGACTATATATGAAAATATATATGGGAGCACCTGGGTGGCTCAGATGGTTGAGCATCTGCCTTCGGCTCAGGTCATGATCCTGGGATCGAGTCCCACATCAGGGAGCCTACTTCTCCCTCTGCCTCTCACTCTCTCTGTCTCTTATGAATAAATAAATAAAATCTTAAAAAAAAAATAGATATGGACGGTAACCAATTTATGATGGTTCAACTTAAAATTTTTTGATTTTATGATAGTACAAAAGCAACATACAGGGACGCCTGGGTGGCTCAGTCAGTTAAGCATCTGCCTTCAGCTCAGGTCATGATCCCAAGGTACTGGGATCGAGTCCCGCATTGGGCTCCTTGCTCAGCGGGGAGCCTGCTTCTCCCTCTCCCACTCCCCCTGCTTGTGCTGTCTCTCTCTTTCTGACAAATAAATAAAATCTTAAAAAAATAAAGAAGCAACATATAGAAACTGTACTTCAAATTTTGAATTTTGATAATTTCCTGAGCTAGCAATATGCAATACAATACTCTCATGATTCTAGGCAGTGGCAGTAAGTTATAACTCCCAGGCAGCCACATGATGATGAGGGTAAACAACTGATATACTTACAACCATTCTGTACCCATACAACCATTCTGCTTTTCAGTTCCAGTATAGTATTTAAAAAATTACATGAGGTATTCAACACTTTATCATAAAATAGGCTTTATGTTAGATAATTTTGCTGAACTACAGACTATTGTAAGTGTTATGAGCATGTTTAAGGTAGGATAGGCTAAGCTCTGATGTTTGGTAGGTGTATTAAACTTACAAAATTTTCACTCACAATGGGATTATTGGGACAGGAGTTGTAAGCTGAGGATCTGATATAGGTAACTAATACTCACAAGAAATAACTGGCTTACATCAGTGCTTTTCAGATATTTACTATGACCTATACTAATACCTACTTACCTTTCACATCACAACCTGACCCATACAGTTTCATTAAACAATATCTACCCTGTTCTATTTTTTCTATGCTATTCCAGTCTCCTCTCACTCACACATACATACACACACACACACTCACACACAGAGAGTCAAAACCCACTAAACTGATTTCATGCTGCATGCAGTAATATGTTCCTGCCTAGGGTTTCAAAAAAATATTAGCATAGAATGGTCTTACACACTAACATGTAAGAAGAGCACCAGAGATCAGAGTATAATGAAAATCTACTAAGAAAGTACAGGGAGAGAAAACATTTTTAAGCCAATGGTTCTCAAACTGGGGGGATCAAAATCACTGGGGACTTTGATAAAATTAAAGATGTCCAGATACCACACCAGACTAACTGATCTGAATCTAGTGCATCAGAAAAAGAGCATGGTGATCTCTAGTTTTAATACTTTCTACAAACTGATTCTGATTTAGATCATGATTTGCTATCTCTGCCTAAAACTTTTAATAGCTTCCAAATTAAACTTAGAATAAAATCCAAATGCCTCCCATGACTTTGACAAAGCACTCCATGGTGCAGTCCCAACTTATCTGATTTCTCTCCATGAGCCTTCTCAGTTTTGCTCATTATTTGCCAAACATACTAGATTCCTTTTAGCTCTGCAAAAACTAAAGAGCCAATTTCAACTTACAACTAACTAGAGCCTGTTTGATGTCTTTGGACTACTGTGCATGAGATACTGACTTTTTCTCATCTTTCAGGTCTCAATTTAAATACCTGTTCATATATCGTAAATATCCATTTCTACTAACAGAAGGCTAGGTAATTTAAAGCAAACTTACTGATGAGAGCAATTACACAAATTGGACAAGATATGGGCACCTGACTGAAGGCACTAAAGAACTGCTATTGTAATAAAGAGTCGGTGGGCTCAAAGTTGAAAAACATGAAAATTCAAAGAAATAAGCTAATCATTTTTGGCCACTTTTCCACTCACGGAGGTCCTACAGTTCAGGAAAAGACAACCGAGACATGGAAAAACTAAGTGGTGTATTGGACTATTTCTTAAGGTTTGGGCAATAACTAGAGAACAGGGCCCTCTATAAAGTCATACTTAAGAGTTGGGAACCCTGAGGGCTACAAAAATAAGGAACAAGGGAAAAACAGTAGACCAGTCTGGGCAGGGTCCGAAGTCTGAACCATCTTTGAATCAACTCAACCAAGAAATGTGGACTCAAGTAATTTAAGATTATTTGCCACAAAGCATATTAAAATCTTCACTGAAGATTCACCCGAGGCTTCAAATTACTTTCATAATTTTTCTTTACAATGTCTACCACTCAATAAAAAATAACCAGGTGATGAGGGTACACAGACAACTGAAAAACAGGAGAATAAAGACAAAAGAAACAGATCTATAAGGGCTCAAGTCACATATCCACTACAAAAGTAATGATACAACACTTCTGTCATTCCTAAATACTCTTGTGCTATCCCTTTGTAGTAAATTTCTCCTAACCTTAAGCATAGATGCCTGGAAATTACTGATCTATGGCTTTCCCCAACACCTCCTTACAAATGGAAACAAAAGTACTTCCATACTAAATCTAAGATTAAAATGGAAAAAGTGATCATACTTTTCCAATTACCTTGCCTCTTTCATACTGCTTCCTAGGTACTTTCCAGAGATATCTTCATTAGTTCTCCCTGTCCTTTTCAACCACAATACCAAATTGCCTTTGTTTACTTATCTTTACTTCACAGTCTGCTTTCTTTATGCCATCTCATGTGTTCTCATACTCACTCTTGTATCAAGGCAAATACCGGAATAATATCTCTATAATTTCTTGAGCATTGATACAAGTCAAAGACATGATGAAAGGTTTCTGTAAACTTATGGAATACTAGGGATTTTGGAGATAAAAAAGCAATTACTGAATATAAGGAAAGGAATCTGGAGTGATAAATTTCCAGGAATTCTACTGAAAAACAGTATGCCGTATGGAAATAAGATCCAGAAAAAGAACACCAAAAAATCTCATATGCTGCTAATGGAAATGTACAAGAGCACAACCATGATGAAAGAGTTTGGTTGTTTTGTATAAGGGTAAACATACACTTAGCATATGATCCAGCATTAATAATTGTATGTATTTACACTTATGCCCAGACAAACATCTGTACACCAAGGATTATAGCAGCTTTATTCACAATTACCAAAAAATCAGAAACCAAAGATGTATTCATACTGGTAAAGAAGTTAAACTGTATTTACAGATGACATACTATACATAAAAAATCCTAAAGACTCCACTAAAAAACTACTAGAAGTAATAAATGAATCCAGCAAAGTTGCAGGATAAAAGAACTTATACCACGAAGTCAGTAGCATTTCTATACAGTAATAATAAAGTAGCAGAAAGAGAAATTAAGAAAATAATCCCATTTACAATTATATTAAAAGAATAAGATACCTGGGAATAAACTTAACCAAACGGGCAAAAGACCTATACTCTGAAAACAATAAAACACTGATGGGGGCGCCCGGGTGGCTCAGTTGGTTAAATGACTGCCTTCGGCTCAGGTCATGATCCTGGAGTTCTGGGATCGAGTTCCGCATCGGGCTCCCTGCTTCTCCCTCGGACCCTCCCCCCTCTCATGCTCTCTCTCTCATTCTCTCTCTCAAATAAATAAAAAATCTTTAAAAAACACTGATGAAAGAAATTCAAGATGACATAAACAAATGGAAAAATATTCCATGTTCATAGATTGGAAGAACAACTGTTAAAATGTCCATTCTACCTAGAGCAATCTATAGATTTAATGCAATCCCTATCAAAATACAAGCAAAATTTTTCACAGAACTAGAACAGATAATCCTAAAATTTTTATTATATCACAGAAGACCCTGAATAGCCAAAGCAACCTTGAGAAAGAAAAATACAGCTGGAAGTATTATAATTCCAGATTTCTAGATAGACTATGAAGCTGTAGTAATCAAAATAGAAACGTACTGGGGTGCCTGGGTGGCTCAGTTTGTTAAGCGACTGCCTTCAGCTGAGGTCATGATCTCAGGGTCCTGGGATCGAGCCCCACATCAGGCTCCCTGCTCGGCGGGAAGCCTGCTTCTCCCTCTGACCCTCCTCCTGCTTGTGTTCCCTCTCTCGCTGTCTTTCTCTCTGTGTCAGTTAAATAAATAAATAAATAAATAAATCTTAAAAAAAAAAATAGAAAGGTACTGGCACAGATACATGTATCAATAAAACAGAATAGAGACACCAGAAATAAACCTACACTTATATAGTCAATTAATCCATGACAAACAACATAAGAATATACAATGAGGAAAAGACAGTCTCTTCATCAAATGGTACTGGGAAAATTGGACAGCTATATGCAAAAGAATGAAACTGGACGGTCTTTTAACACCATACACAAAAACAAACTCAAAATGGATTAAAGGGCTAAATGTGAGATCTGAATCCATAAAAATCCTAGAAGAGAACACAGGCTGTAATTTCTTTGACATTGTCCATAGCAACATTTTTTTTTTTTTAGATATGTCTCCTAAGGCAAGGGAAACAAAAAGCAAAAATAAACTCTTGGGACTATATCAAAATAGCTTTTGCACAGCAAAGGAAACCATTAACAAAACAAAAAGGCAACCTAATGAATGGGAGAAGATATTTGCAAATATACCAAATAAGAGGTTAATATCCAAAATATATAAAGAACTTATACAACTCTGAACCAAAAAG